ANACCGTCTCTTAGGAGATCTCTTGATCAGGGATAAAGAGGATCAAAGGGCCTATCATCTCCCCAAGTTGAGATATAGTGAGGGATTTCTATGATGGTCGTCTAATTACGCTTAAAGGGCCCTTATTTCACGGATCCCTTATGAGACGATCAAGAGATCCGTTCTTCAAACATATCCAAAGGATCCATCATTTATTTTATTACTTTTAAATATTTAAGTGCCCACTTAGGGCTGGGTCTTATAAAAAAAAACTGTACGTGCTGATAAGATCGTCATTAAGTTTGACCCCACTCGATAAACGAAACACGATCCTGTTTATCTCTCCATCCCGTCGACCTTTAACCACCAAAATTTAATAGCATCAATCCCCCTAATACACAAACCTCTGTACAAAATTTCAGAAATTTTCCACAAAAAGCACAGGAGTTATTAATTAAAAGCTTCAAAGAGGGCGAACACATTCGTACATAAAGAAAAATTCCCTCCCCTTTTTTGCTGCCCAATTAATAATTTTGATTATAATTAAATTGTCTTTGCAGCTAATCAATCTTTCTAATTGCTTCCAAATGTAAAGCGAAATATCTTCTTATAGCAATTAAATTTAATTAATTAAATGTAAATTAATGTAATACTTTATTTCCCTCACAAATATGCCAAATTAACCTTGAATTTTCTTTCTGTTATTCGAAAACACCTGTGTTTCTAATATAATAAATCAATGGAACCAATTCTTTATTAATATTTTACACCATAGTTCCGAGAATTAATGGAGTTGAAAAACGTATTTCATGAAAACGGAAATTAAATTTTCCACTTAACTTTAACATGCTGCTAAGCCCATTAAGATCATATGCATAAGAAATTAATGTTTTAAAATCGAATATCACTAGAAGAAACACGAACGAAGGGTTTTAATTGTAATTAAGCATTAATTTTATAATTATATATAAGAAAATTACATTCTATGTTGAATTATTTATGTATTTATGTGTGGCCCTCCCTCCCTCTAAATAAACCATTACTCATAAAAATATTAAATTAATTAATCGAATTTAATGTTGATTAATCAGTTTTAATGATAATTAAGATGAATTTTATGATTTAGATGTATTTAATCACGATTTTCTCACATTAAAGTCTTCGAATTAGTGCTTAATTATTATTNTCTTTTGTATTTCTCGACGTTTCAAGGTCCCATGAATCCAAAAATCTGAAAATTAAAGATAATAACCGGGAAAATAAAAAAATAATCTAATTTTAATTTATGTAAACATATTATATAACACTAAACTAGTGGTGATTTGTAGCTTATTTACACATTAAATGAGTTTGTTTGACAATAATATTTACCTAGATAAATGCGAAAATATTTAATTATTTTTTACTATAATCGATAATATTTTCTTTAAGGCTATATTTTCATAGTTTATCCCATAAATTTTGGGTGTTTTTGTAGATGTAGATGCCTAAAATGGAGCTTTAACTTGAAGAATTGCATCTATATAGTGATTTTAGGACAAATTTTGCTTGAAATATATATCTCTTACACCTTTAAAATTAAAATTTATACTTTTATAATATTAAAAATTAATAATTTAAACTTTAGGAAGTGTGAAAAGTTTATAAAGTAATCAATGCTAAGCTGCCTTTATACTGTTCTTTATCAGTTCAAGAGATCAGGAGTGACATTCGATCGTAATAAATAATAAAATAATAATATAAACTTTAGGAAGTGTGAAAAGTTTATAAAGTAATCAATGCTAAGCTGCCTTTATACTGTTCTTTATCAGTTCAAGAGATCAGGAGCGACATTCGATCGTAATAAATAATAAAATAATAATATAAACTCAGTCATGTAAGAGAAGTTTGTAATCTACGCTCAATATTCTCGGTATTTTTTCGCGTGAGAAACTAATCTTATATGTAAATTTACATGAAAATCAATTTTATACCCTATGAAAGCAGATGAATGTAAAAAATGTATAAAGGCTGAATAAAATTCTGTCCTTTTTTAAAACGAATTTTACGTCTCTTAAACGATAGTTTTTAAGTATAGTTAATGAAGATTTTATGGAAAAAATTGTCATAGTTTTCGCATAAATATGTGATGATATATAAAAATATAATCGAAGATTTAACGAGATCTTCAAGAAAATCACTAATTTCACTAATCACAATAGTAATTTTTCTTTAAGATCTTAACATACAAACACATAAACATAATTTACACGTACAAGTATAATGTAAATCATGTTTGCGTGTTAAAAATTTCACATCTTATACATTGTTATTCATTTAAAAATAATTGCAATAATTTTCCATGGAAACATTAAAAATATAAGGAAGCCATGGGGAAGTTATTCGTTAAAAAAACAAAAATTATACATCAATTAATTTGACGGAATAAGGCAACACAACACATAGATGATCTAATAAGGTGAGTACCTATTGGGAGGACTTTCTATGGGAAATTGGTTCCTATTTAAAGTGTTAGATACCTTTTTCCAAACTCATCATAGGTTCGGTCGGGACCACAACGGGGCAAATCAATGACTTTTCTATGTTAGACAGCTCTGCTCTATATATTTTACAGTGTAACTACATTCAGAAGCTAGTTACTCTATTCAAAATGGCGAAAATTTCAATTATACAAACAACTCTAATTGATTATAGCAAGGACATTAAACTACTCGTTTTTTTTTTGGTTTTTTATTTTAAATGTATAGTTCATTGTTGACACGTGTCGCTGCAAGATCGATGCACCAGTTAATTTATGCTACGAATGAATAACGTTACAAGTAACGTTATACAGATAACAATCGATATACAGAAGTTAACACTCAGAAAATGCATTCGCACGCAAATTTATCTTTAAAAATTCTTATTAATAACTTGATAATAAAGATCTTACGAGTATATTTAAGCTTATTTTTTATCATAAAAAAAAAGTATTTTATGAGCAAGTTTACGAAGTTTATGCAGTCGCAATCTCGCTAGTTTTAAAGCATTTAATGAGGGGGTATTTATTTTAAATATTAGTAAAAATATTTGGAAGAAAACCCATAAATTTTATTTAAATAATGTTAAATTTTCGTTTGGTAAATAGATAAAATGAAAATTTCTTATAGTTTTAAGGTGTTTTCCTTAATTTAATCACTAATTTTAAGTGAAGGTAAGAAGCAGGGTAAGACCCATTAAGTTTGGACTATTATTTTGACCAACTTCAATTTTTTCCTCCTGAAATGACTAAGATATTGGTCAGAGTAATAATCCAAACTTGGTGGGCCTTAATGAGGCCTCTACCTTATATTTTAGATATATATATATATATCGGTTATGTATATTCGGATCCCTTATCAGAATTTTGAACTCCCCTGAGAAATTAATCCCATGGTGGAAGTTCTGTTCTGCCATTAAAATTGTCAGAGGGCCTATGACCGACACTCTATGATTAGGGCCCGTAGCGGAGACTTAACTATAAGATCTGTCGTGTCCAACGGGTCAAGAGGACTTTGGACTTGATCTAGGGCCAAAGGACCTATCATTTCAGAGGACAGTCATCTCAGGGGATCACCGTCTCTTAGGAGATCTCTTGATCAGGGATAAAGAGGATCAAAGGGCCTATCATCTCCCCAAGTTGAGATATAGTGAGGGATTTCTATGATGGTCGTCTAATTACGCTTAAAGGGCCCTTATTTCACGGATCCTTTATGAGACGATCAAGAGATCCGTTCTTCAAACATATCCAAAGGATCCATCATTTATTTTATTACTTTTAAATATTTAATTTAAACTAAATTATCTTAAATTATATTTATATAACATATGTATACATTATAGGCTATAAAATTATTTTTAAAAATTTTCAATTATTTGAGTGTGTTTACTTTGCGCCCATTCGTGTACAAACTCAATCCTTTTTTATTAAAAAAAATCAATAAATTTTATTTATAAATTAAAAAAATAATTTTAATATCATTATATAATAAAAAATGATTTAAAATTATATTAATAAATTGAATTATAATACGATACGATTATTATTTCCAGCAAAAAATCGAAAGAATTCGTGATTTAGTATGTAATGTTTCAATCAGTAGCACGCGATCGACTTACTTAACGTTTTTGTATAGCAGTGCGCTCTTATCTGGAAGAGGTTGGGAAACACAAATGTAACATTATCGTATTCGAATTTATTAACTAGAATAATTAAATTAGATAAATTGTAATTTATTAAATCTTAAATACGTGATAAATATAATATTTTGGATNAAAGCTTATACAGTAAGTTATATATATATATATATATATTTACTATAACGAAAATGTCTTTATAGTAAACATTTTATAGAATAAATAAATAAATAAATATAAATCCTTGATCTACATTTTTCAATTAAATTATACTTAATTTAAATGTTTTATTCTAATTAAAAATGCATTTCATTTATGTTAAATTGTTTCATATATAAAAAAAAAATGCCATTTTGTGCTAAGTGATTTGATTTCTTTTAATCGAAAACTATCAAATTATTCAATTTATAAATTGTCATTTGGTGCTAATTTTTATATATATTATTTTTAATTTAACAAATGATGTGTCCACTAGTCGAGTGGATAACATCACTAAACACTGATCGTTGGTTCATGCTTCGCCAATAGGTTAGTCACATGGAGTTTTCCGGGTTTTTTTTTTCACATTTTTAACATCTAAATAGATGCCAGTTTACCATAAAAGGCCATCTTCTCGGCAGATCTCATATAAAAACAATCTAACACTTAAATTGGAGCCAATTTATCATTGAAAGTCAAACCTGAAGGTACCCCTCTTGAAAAATCATCCATACGTTGTGTTGCCTTATACCATCCAAAAATATCACTCTATACTCTAATTTATTTAATATTATATCTGAAAAAAACTCTTCAGTTTTATATAAAACATTAAATATTTAAAAATTTTTATTTACAGTTTCCTTTTTTTTTTTTTGTACAGCATAACAATGAGCTTCGATCATAGAGTTAAAGTACGTACTGCTTATTGTTACAACTGTCCTAAACACGGTTATGCCAGACAAGCAGCAAGATTTTCGAATTCTTCTTCTTCATACATGAAGAACGAAGAAGAAGAAGAAGACTTTTGGAATCATTGTTCTGTCATATTAGGAAGTTCGAGTATCAATGGAGTCAGTCAGATAGCATCTACTAAGCAAATTTATAGAAAAATTTTATGGGTGATTGTTTTTTCTGGATGTATGGCAGGATTCCTTTTTCAAACAATTAGTTTCTTAATTCATTTTTCCAATTATCCAACAACTGTTGAAGTTCTTGTGTTGAATGAAGGAGTTTTGGAATTTCCATCTGTAACCATTTGCAATTCTAACAGGTAAATAAATTAAGAAAAATTGTATTAATTTTCTGCAAAATAATTAAAAATAATCGTATTATTTACCTGCTTATATACATAAATATATTTCTTCTCGTGTAGGATTCGCAAAAGTCAATATTGTAAATACTTGGAAAGCAAACCAAATGTGAATAAAACCTGTCCCGATGTAATGTATTTTGGATATTATGATGTAATGTATATTTATATTTTAATTTTAAAAAAAGTAGAAAAAATGTAGAAACAGAAGAAGCACACCTTGTTAAAATGTACATTTAATTAGGATCAATTATACTATTAATCATCCTCAGCCATCATTGATGATCATATACATTTTAATAAGTGTCTCACATAAACATAATTTACACGTACAAGTATAATGTAAATCATGTTTGCGTGTTAAAAATTTCACATCTTATACATTGTTATTCATTTAAAAATAATTGCAATAATTTTCCATGGAAACATTAAAAATATAAGGAAGCCATGGGGAAGTTATTCGTTAAAAAAACAAAAATTATACATCAATTAATTTGACGGAATAAGGCAACACAACACATAGATGATCTAATAAGGTGAGTACCTATTGGGAGGACTTTCTATGGGAAATTGGTTCCTATTTAAGGTGTTAGATACCTTTTTCCAAACTCATCATAGGTTCGGTCGGGACCACAACGGGGCAAATCAATGACTTTTCTATGTTAGACANGAAGAATGAGGAACAGCATTCTGCCCATAGAAAATCACAAGGATTCAAACTCAAATCTGTTCGAGAAGAGGATTACGTATTGTTGTACCATCCTTTTTTTCGAACTTAGTTCGGTCAGACTCACAATGGGGCAACTGGGTAATAAAGAATGTACCCAAAATATCCCGGACAGATAACCCATGGAAAATACTGAGGCGGTACTCACTCTCATTTCCTAGTGATAGGCTGATGCCTTAACTATAGAACTATGTTAAAAAATTATATATAGATAAGTATAAGTAACGCTGAAGAGTGCTAAAAATGTAAATTGTGTATTATTGTATTAGACTTATTTTTAAATAAAAATATTAAGTTATAGTTATCTTTAAATAATTTATTTTATTTTTAGTCTTTATCAGACGAAGAAATTATGAAATTACAAATTCAATTATTGAAAGAAAATAAATTAAACACTAGAAAATATTTAGGACACAATAAAACAGAAATGATTCTCTATTGTGATTTCAAAGGAGATCCCAAATTGAGTAAAGCAGAATGTGTAGAGTAAGTAAAAATATTTAATAATAATATACATTTTAATAAGTTTTTTTTTAAAATAAATTCTTATATTTTTATTTTATTTTAGCCGTTTTGCCCATTTTTACGACCCAGATTTTGGTAACTGTTATAGTTTTGATTCTTCTCAAGACGATAATGGCGACTATCTTAAAGCTACGGAATCGGACGTTTGGCAAGAACTTAGCGGTAATTTTTAATTTTTAATTTTGTAAAAATCCTCCAATAATATTTAATCTTTTATTAATTAATACATAAAACACTTATAAGTAGTCCTCCGCGATTTACGAAAGATATTAATAAAGAGATAGTTTAAAAATTTTTTTCTTAATGATGATGATTGGTTGACGTGTTGAAAATTTAAATAAGTAGGTGTGTCTTTTTCTTGTTTCGTCCAATCATCTTTTAAATTAATTTAAAATATTTTTGAGCGATATCTTACTGGATTATAAGAGACTGCCTGTTTTATAATTAATATTTTTGCTATATTTTGTATTTCCCCCCTCAAGTTTTACAAATTTTAATTTAAATTTTTAAATTAAAATCATTATTTTTTTAAATGTTTTTAGAATTAATTTTAATATTAAATACCGAAGAAGATGAATATCTGGAATCATCAAGAGATCCTGGATTTCTTATAACATTTCACACTGCTAGAATTTATCCGGATCCATTTTCTGATGGATTCCAACTAAGACCTGGCTTTAGTTATAATTTCGGCTTGCAAAAGGTATAAATAATTTACTTTTTCTCAATAATAGAATGATATACAGTAGACCCCCCTATAACACTGTAGATAATTCCGTGTTATATGAATTCCGTGTTGTACGAGTCACTTAGATTTTACAAATACGTGAGCCGTTCACATCCGGGCACGTGTATTTGTAAAATTTAAGTGACTCGTACAACATGGAATTCGTATAACACGGAATTATCTACAGTGTTATAAGGGGGGTCTACTATACTAAATTGCATTTTTTCTTCCTTATAGTTCACCAATGAACTTTTAACTCTTCCATATAAAACTAACTGCACAGATTATGATAAATTACCATGGAAAAGAAGAATAGAAGATAGGAAACTTAGCACTAGAGTAAAACTTAAAGAATTTTTTTTTTAAATCATTAAATTATCTTATAACTTATTAAATATATTAATTGTTTTAAAACAGATGTGCACAGCGGAATGTTCCCAACACGAACAGTTGGTACAATGTGATTACGTGACGAACAACATTAGACTCTTCTTCGACGACTGGTCCGATAAAATTAACGATCCTGGTAAATCTCCTATAATAAACAGCATGTTAAATATCCTTAAAAATAAATTAAACATAGTATTACATTCAGCATGACATTTTAAATCACTTCTGTTGATTATTCGTGTAAAATCATCATCATTAAATCGATGGTTTTATATGAATTATCAACAGAAGTGAAGCGGGAATATTCTTGGCATTTATATTAAAAAAAAAAATGTGTTAACAGTATGAAAAATTATTCATTTTTTAAGAAAATTCATAAGATTATACAGGGTGGTCCAAAAGTCAGTTAACCATAATTTTTCAAGAAAATGCTTGCAAAGTTTGAAAGTATTTGAATAAAATAGTAATTTAATGGTTAACTGACTTTTAGGACACCCTGTATATTTTAATTATTATTATTATTTTTTTTAAAGCACAGTTTTTAAATTCAAAAATTTAACATTGTTTTCTTTTGCCATTATTTTAACAATTTTTTTTTAATTTTATATAATTTCATATAAAATTTGCAATTAAATTGCTTCTATGATGTTTTATATTTATTGAAAAAATATATATATATTTGCCTGTATATGTTTAATACTGTACAGTAGTTAGAAGATATTAGAAGTAGCTAGAAGAAACTACAGAATATAAATATTATTGATCGACAGTTTTTAAGACTGTAGGCCACAATAAACCAATATATCTGATCAAATGAAGTGACATATCTTAAAATTGCAGACTTATAAATTCTGTCTGTCCATCTTTAATTTCGAGAACGGAGTTAGATAGATGAATTTAAAAAGTATGAATGGAAAATTTAGGAGTCGGAGGCACCAATTAACTATATATTAAGTCACGTTATTTTAATTCAAACATTTTCTCATGAAACTGAACTGATAGATGATTGGCATGACTCTCTTGTTAACAGGAAAAGTATGATATACAGGGGCATGACACCACTAAAATTAAATTTCCAGACCTGCATTGTGATGCTGTCACAAAAGATAATTGCTCGTTGGATATGTAAAACTTGATATTTAGCTAATATATGCTTGGATAATACATGGATAAGTTGGGTCAGATCATTTTTTTTATCATTGATCCACCATTATGTTGTTTCCTTATTTTTATGAAGTTTCCTATAATCAAATTGATTATATTAAATTCGCAAAGTTCAAAGATGATTCAATTTTATTGAATGGTCTTAAATACTCATTGACAAAAATAGTTACGCACTCAGATAGATTTATTCGATAACTGCAACTATGCCTCAGACAGATATGTTAATTATTACATTTGTGATCCGATTGTCTTTCAGGTAATACCACCAAAATATCTTGAAATTACTACCCTAGTAGCTTATAAAACGGCTCGCAAATGCTTACTGTATTTTAGTATATCTTCTCGCAGATGTTTTAATGTATCTGTTGTTTGGAGGTCTTCGAATGCCTGTACGACACAAAGACACAATGCTTGAGAAAGGCCGGTTGAAAGAAGTGGGATAGCTATTTTGCCGAATTTCCTGCCATTTGGGCTAGTCTAATTGGATTGTGACGAGATAGTAGGGGTAATACATACGTGAGAGCATACTTACAAGTCGGGCAGGTTCTGTGCTCCAGACACATCACCAGCACAAGTGATCTGATCGTGAGACAAGCACAGACAGATGCAATGGCGTTTGTCCGCTATTCAGACAACTGGAAATCTCAGTACAGAGCCATTTCTTCCCGTAACATTGACAAGCGACTAGCAAAGACAAATTTGTATTCACGACAATCTTTTGCCATCTTGTCATTAGCACTCAACATCGTAGACTTTATTTGCTGCTGTGAGAAAAAAGCATGGATTTCTATGGACTGGCAACGTATCGTCTTTAACAAAGAATCCCAGTACTGTCTGTGATTAGATATTTACCATATTAAAGTGTGAGGGACCATTGATGAACACTTTAACATCTTCTTTAATATTGAGAAACACATTGCTGGTCTGGGGAGCCATTTCGTATGACCGTTGGTCAACCCTAGTAATAGTGCGAGGAAGATTGGTAACTCAACGTATGTTCAAAAACTCTTGCACCTTCATGTGTTGCATTATTTAGCAGGAATGCAAACAGCTGTTTTCCAGCAAGATAATGTTCGGACACTGCAACTAGGAGTTTTCAAGACTGAAAACCCTAGTTCAGTCACAGACTGGAACCCCAGTTCATTGATCTTCCGGAGACAAATCGAGCATTTATGGAATCAAATGGCCACAAAGATACCAGCTTCGGTCACTTCGAGAATGAATAATCTGGAGCAGCAAGCAATTGCAACATGTATGGACAAATCTATGCAGGATAGCATACAGTGCCGGTATGCCTCCATGCTTAATCCACGTCGCATGTATTCAAGTCCCAAGCAAGAGGAGGTTGTATAAGTACTACAGGTTCGTTTTCAATTGTCCTGCAATTCTACAGGAAATTGTCTTTTTGCCTTCGTATCGAAATCATTTATTATCATGACCATTAAGTATGCACTAATAAAGTTTGATTCGATTTTAAGACTTCTTTCTTCGTGTGTAACTTTTTTGTCAATGATAATCAAGTATAATATTTAATTGTAGAAACAATTGATATGAATAAATTCCTATTAAATATTTTATATTTTTAAAATATCGTATGCATTTCCTCTAGTTATCTACTTGTATATATATATATACATATTCTTGATAAATTATACATATTATGTAAATCTGTACATAGTACCGTTCATGAGATAACCTGTCTTCTGTGTAGTTTCAGGATTGAAGTTATCTTGTTAGTCATTCAATATGCCATTTAGCCTTGTTATCATTAAATAATGATGATTAATTCGGTTTATTATTCAATGATTCGTTAATTACGTTGTGGAATCCTTTGAATAGTTTCTTGGATGAATATTCAAGAATTATTTTATCAGAAATATTAATCTTCAAAAGTGCTTTTATTCTTCAACGAAATCATAAACACGTATTTGCATAAAACTTAAAAATTTTCATGTAAATGTTACAAATTTTGTGCATTAAATAAAACTATAAAAAACTAAGTTTTAGATATAAAATATGTGCTTCTAAAACTAATTTCTATGAATTTCCTGAATTGAAAAGTAGTTCAAGTAGTTTTTAATCATGAATAAAGTAATGTGTTGCATTCAAAAAATATATATACATTGAAAACTATTCCATAAATATAAATATAGGCCCACAGTCTTAAATAGTGTTGATCATCGGTATTAACTATAAATCAATTGAAATATTTTTTCGTTTTTTGATGGAGTGAATACAGGAAACAAGAAAGAAGAAACCAATGAAAATGCTGCTGTCCAGTTAAACGATACAGAAAATAGTAATTTCTTTTTTAAAGGGATGAATTTTTGCATATAGAAAGAAGCTAAAACTATTAATTAAAAACAATTGGCATTTTATTTTATTATTTTCAACACAATCACTTAATAATTAGACTAGACAAAAAAACATGTATCCATTTCTGTTATTTCTGCAATTTCACACTGCAAGAATTCTGCACTGAATGTTGTCATAAATCTAGTTTTGTTTGCACTGGAATTTTTCTAAACTTTTTTTTTTATTTTTTCTTTATTTTTGACCACATTTTTCGTTATTTTTAAACATTCCTTCCACTTCTGCAACTCTAGAAAAAGAAGAATGTGCTGAAAAAGTCAGTAACTTAACAATGGATTATTGTCGTTCTTTGTGTAGAGTTCCGTGCAAGTAAGAAATTTTAAATCAGTATAATTTTTATATTTGTAAATTTATTTATTTACTAAATATCAAATTCTACCATATAAGTATTATAATTTTCTAGTATAAAGTTTTATCTAGAAGGTTGTCAATTCTATTATCAATGAGGGAAAAGGCGTTATTAATTAACTCGTTACAAAAAATTTAAATTTTATAGAATTGTTTGAAATTCTTGAAAATTAATACTGTATTTTTTATTGATTTTAAATTAATTTTTTTCAGACAAACTTCATTTAAAGTAACTTCTGATTCTTCTGCTTGGCCTCGAAAAGATAAGGTAATCAATAATTTGTAAATTTATTAATTAATGGTGCTAGCGTAACCAAGGAAGGTAAGAGACCTCTTTGTGTAAATAAATTAATAAAGAAAAAAGTAAATAAATACAGGAAAAGAATTTAAATATGACAAACTTATATACATGAATATCTAAAAGTTTGCTCCTTATCCACGCCGCTAGTGATTACATTAACAGGTGAATATAGTATTGCATGTTGTAATTCGATCCTAGTTACGTTACTAATTAATAATAACCATGTTTACTACGAAATTTTGTATTTATAGAATAAATATTTTTGTGTACTCTGCTATGTAGAGCAGTAAAGATTATTTAATTACTACAATTAAATAATTTATGACTCTAGTTCAGGTTAGAGTTATTTGATAGAATTGATGGTTTTTCTATTGTTGTTCTGATTGTGTTACAGTTTTCAGCTTTATTATTAAGTTTTATACTATAATAATATGTGTTTTACATCTTTTACATATTCTAATATATAAAAATCGACGGCCGGATGGCCGAGTAGTTAAGATGGCACTCTACCACTTTGGAGGATCCGGAATCAAAAAAGTACAGACTTTTAAATTTAGAAAAATTGTATGCAGTGTAAATATTTTAATAGTCTACTTTTTGCTTGTTTTTAATGCTGAATCTGTCGGTTAGTATGTAATAATTCAAATAATAAATGAATTGCTAAAAATCTGTTTATAATAATAACTTTTAGGTAGTAAAATCTAGATTTTATGGACTGTAATTTCGGTTTTTAACCTTCACCTACTTTCGATTTCTTTTAAAATTATTAATTTCATCCATTTTAGTTCATTGAAAATAAAGCATTGATACAAGTCACGCTATATTCTTCTATTCTTCATTTGTTCTACATATATAATTTTTTTTTATTTTATTATTTTATGCATCCGGCGAATAGATAAAAATAAAAAGACAAGCAATACTTTGAAAAACTGAGCTTTACCCCGTCCTTCACTACCCAGTCTTTTCTATTTTAGGCCCGACCGAATCTACGATGAGTATGGAAAACATGCCCTCAGGCCTGAGGCCTATTAGAGTGCCCTTGAGTAAAAACAGCCAAAAATGAATGAAGATACTCTTATCTAATAAATTACTTCTGAATACACCAAAAATTGTTAAGGTTTTTTTTTCCAAATTTTGGAAAATCATCAATTATTGCCGATTCTTTATTTTAAGGACCGCAATATAATGCATTTCACAGAAACAACGCACCAAGTCATCCGTTGAAATACGGTATTTAAAAATTTTAAATTATTAGTGCGTGGAATATCCGCAAGGGAGCGCGTCGGCAGTCATTGTTGATCGCCCTGTTAGAAAGTATAGTATTTGTTTCTCTCGCAATTTATCACAATATACGTTGTATTACTTATCATATCTCATATAATTAGTAGTCTGTAGTTGATTATGACATCAGATCAATGTCAAATTAACAGAATTTTGAATCTTATTTTATTACTTAATCACTTGGAGAAGATGCGAATGTTATTATTATGTTCACATTGTTTATTTTTAAAATTTTAATTATGTGAATTTACAAATCATTTACAGCCTCAGTCAAATCCGGGCAATAGACAATTTACCCAGATATAACTGTATTGCTTCCTCTATATTGAGGTTCAACAGCAATATATGAATACCGATTTTTTTTTACCTTATTTATGATTCATTTTTCTTAATTTCGAATATTTTAGCACAAAGTTTATAAAGAAACTTCTGCATTTAAAGCAATATAATTATGAAATCAATACATTTATCCAGTGAAAAAAAAATCCTGCATCAATTTTTAACAACTTTCACATATAAAAATCTATAAATGTTCATAAATCAATACTCAAATTTATGGTTCACTTCTTTTAATTCTTCATTCATAACAATATAAGAGATTCCATTACTTTATTATAGAATACATTTCTAAGAAATTTGTAAGAAAAAATTGTATTTTTTTTTTTCATTTTATCTAAATAATTCAGTCATAAACCTGTCATAATAAAAAAAATTGAGTTTACTATAAATTTTAAAAGATCTAATGGTAAAGTCATGTTAGTGTTAAAAGGTTTTTTTTCTCCCCTATTAATTTGCTTCGCGATTAATATCAATATAACACATATTCAATATTTGTGGCTTAGTTTATTATATAATTTTGTATAATACAGTGATAATTATCGTCTAAACTGCGACCGTATTTCAGGAATGAATAATCCATACAAAATAATCTCCAAACAGTTTCCATTGTTCGCAGGTTTGACTGAATTTTTTCCTATTGTTTATTAATTTTTTTAACGAAATCTCTTTAAACTTAAAATTTATGGAATAAAATCATAAAAATTTTGCATTTATACACTTTTAACAAGTAAAATCGTGTTTGTTTTAAGAGTAACCTGAAGGTTCACCACGTTGTAACACGCACGAAATATCATTGTGTGCGAATCGTCTTAACTGAAAACGATGAAAATATTGTGGAATTATTATATTTTCAAGTTTGTGTTTATAAAAAATTGTTTGTAAACATTTTAAACTAGTTTTTTTCGCATAAAATTAACGATTATGCGCGTGTCCTGGCAACGTATCGTTGCACATGGAACTGAAACAATATTATTACAAGAACTATCGATTGTAGGAAATTATATTAATGAAATTATATATACAAGTATTAAAGCATTATGTTCTATTGTTTACAATGACTTAATATACGCTCGCAATGTAAAAAATCCTCATATCATCTCCTGTAGAACTTGGGCATTGTTCAGTTTTGTTTGATATTGATATTAATAAAAAAATTTTTATAAGTATAAAATAATTTTATAAATATGTAAATTAAATAAGATTTTTTAAAAGTATATCGATAAATAATTTAATTTTTTAACTTAACATTTGTAGAATCTTCCATTAGAGTTGAATACGTGGAGAAAAGAAAAAATAGAAATTATCACGTGAGATTTTATTAAATATTTTAAATTTATTATCACTTTTTAAAATTTAACTTAATTTAATTTTTTAAAGGAAGAATTTGGTACGTGTTAGAATCTATTTTTCTACAATGGAACATACTATATATAAAAATTATCCAAAGTATAGAGTAAGTGCATACTTTTTGAATGTATATTTATATAATTAATATAGTTTATAAATAAAAAAAGAATTGTTTCAATAAAATTTTAAAGTATTATTAATGTATTTAAAATGTAATTTAATAAAATAATCAATTAAAAATATATTTTTTTCCTGTATTTAACATTGCGTGCTACTATACAAAACTATTTTGTAGCAGCTGTCAAGAGAGATTAATTAGATTTACTGAATAGGTTTATTGAATTTTATACTTTTTAATTGATTATAAATAATATATTTTATATAAATTTTTTATTATATTTATTTATTTTTAGCCTCTTGAATTATTCAGCTACTTAGGCGGATATGTTGGCATATGGTTGGGGATATCATTAGTTGCATTTTATGAGTTTCTGGAGCGACTTATTTTAATATTAATGTTCCCTTTGAATAAAAAAAGAAGAAAAAGAAAATCTTCTAAAGTAAGGCACATAATGGCCTCACAAATTCATAGATAAAGAGTGCTATTTATTTATTTTTCATAAAAATTTAATCACGTCTAAGAAGATGCAGTGTTGTTTCCTCGATTGATGATGCTATTTTTGAATATTTTATGAACAATTTTGTTTAAATAAAATGTTAAAAACCTTAAATAAATGTTGAATGTTGTAAATATGCCGTATTATACCATAGAGTCAACATAACGCAATTAGATATAACACAAAATCACTTATCATATAACGTTTCCGATTTGACATGTTTCAAATTTAATAGAAATCTTTATTTTTAGTATCCTACGGCATAAAGGCACCAGTATTTACTGGTGCCATTTATGCTATGTAGGATACACTCCATCGATACCCCCTTAATTAATAAGAATAACTCTTGCAAACAAAAACAATAAACATTAAACACACTAAACCAGGGGTGTCAAACTCAAACTCCTTAAGTACCAATTTTTTGTCTCGAGTATGACAGCGGGCCAGATTAAAAATAAAATGCAAATGTAATACTAAGTATAAATAAGAAGTATACAAAGAATGATTTTATTAAAGAAAAAAAATTATAATTTTTTTAAGTAGAGATGTATTAAACCAAAATATTATTTTGAGGTTCCAGAAACTTGACTTCTTCTACGCTTTATTATCTCCTCGATGTTTGGTGTCAACGATGTTGTATTGATTTTCAAAATGAACTGAAGATGTTCATCTGTAAGTCTTGAACGGTATTTAGATTTATTAATCTTCATTGTTAAAAACAACTGTTCATACACATATGAACTTCCAAACGTGCATAAAATGCGGGCAGCATGGTTCCTTTAGTTGGGATAGCTATTTTAATTTTTGAAGTACTTCGTATAAAATGCCAAAATGTCAACTTCATTGAACTTGCTTTTTAAAGCAGTATCACACTGCAAATCTATTAGTTCCATTTGCAAGTAAGTCGGTGCTTTACTAATATCGAACGTAAACAGATCATTAAAAAGAAGAAAGTCGTAGGTATTGAGCTCGCGAAAATGTACAAAACGACTATCAAATTCGGCAATAAGATCAAGCAAACGGTAAGAAAAATCTGCTAATTTATCTGCATTGTACATGCTAATTTCACGAATGCTAGGGAAATGGTCAAGTTTTTGTTCTCGCAGTTGCGATTCCCACAACTTTATTTTGAAAGCTTGAACACTTGAGTACAGTTGCGTAACGATTACATTTTTTCCTCGAAGTTTAACGTTCAAATTATTCAAGTGTTCCGTCATATCTACTAAGAACGCAAAGTCAAGCCACCATTCATCACTGTGTTCCATCGGTTTGCCCTTTTGAGCCATAAACGTAACAACATGTTTACGCAATTTAAAAAATCGTTTAAGCATTGATCCACGACTAAGCCACCGTACTTCTGCAAAGTAGGGAATATCTGAACATTTTTCATCAAGATCGTTTAAAAATTGTGTTTATTGGCAGTGATTTAGTCCTCTACTTTTAATAAAATTAACTGTTTTAATTATGGGATTCATTACATGATCCATTTTCAGCACTTTAGAGGCCGAGATGTACAATACAATGAATTACAACGAATTTGGGTCGTTCACCTTTAATTTCATTTAAAATTTTGTTCCGTATTTTTGTGACAATACCAGCATTTTTACCGACCATGGATGGTGACCCATCTGTGGTAATACTGCAGAATTTACTCCAATCCAAGTCATAATTTGGTACTAATTGCTCAATTGCTGAGTAAATATCTTGAGCTGTGGTAGTACTGTTCAATGGTATGCACTGCAACAACTCTTTTGTGATGTTAATATCTTCATCAATTCCACAAATAAATACAGCAAGCTGCGATGTATCTCTGATATCTGTACTTTCGTCGGCTGCTAAGGAATACCAGATAAATTCTTTAATTTTATGTTGAAAGTCCAAATCTTCTGCCAATTCATTTACACTGGAAGCAATTGTATTTCTAGTCAGGGGTATTTCTTAAATGACTTGTTTCTGTGATGGGAATGAAATGTCGGCCACGTCTAGCATACATTCTTTTAAAAATTCGCCGTCACTGAAAGCTTTTGATTTTTTTTTCAATCTTTAGTGCGATCGAATAACTAGCTTTCAATGCATTCTCACTGTCAGTTTTTGATTTTTTTTTTAAATGATTGTTGCCCCATAAGTTTAGTTTTCAAAGATGCCAGTTTTTCTTGCCTAATTTCGTCGGTAAATAACTCGAACTTGTCTTTATGATTCGTTTCATAGTGTCTTTTCACATTAAATTCTATACAAACGGCAATCATCTTATTGCAAATCAAACAATTGAGTTTAATAATTTTGTTTATTACGTATTATTTGTTTAAATACAAAATATCACATTTTCATTAGTATCAACATAATAAAAAATAAACAAATAGTATTATTGAATTAATGTCGGGGCCGCAACTAATTAACTGCCTCGAGGGCCAGCCATGGCCCGCGGGCCGTATCTTTGACATCCCTGCTGACTAAACACTAACCTGGATCTAACATAGTACACAAAATGCACAGACACCATCAGGTAGTCTTGTGCTCAGAAGGCCTCCATGGTAGGCATTCCAAAGATCTCAGCCAGGATCACGTTGATTGCATCAAACTGCTGGCTGACTCATGAATGTTTATTAGAGAATCAAAAGAATTCATAATTGCCATACAAGTCTAGGTCATAAATACTAAAACTTAGAAAAGTATATATTAATAGACACAACAGACCAAACATCACATTATTGACAAACAAAACAAAATTCTATACAGTACATCATACATGGCTGTACCAAACACCCACAATGTACAAAATACATACACTAAAAATTAGTAAACACTCAAGACTCTCCCGAAAAATAAAGCGTTTATAGGGAATGAATGGAGTACTTATTGTGGCAGTAGTACTTTCTTGCACAGCGTCATACCACATACATTAAACAAGAGTCTAAGAAACATTAAGGCTTTACAACAGAAGGATAAAATGTAGACGTTTCTGTGTGAAACAATAAACTCTTTTAAAAATTTAACACGAAAGGAGTTTGGCGCTAGAGATTTCTCCGGGCCCGGAGAAATCCCTAGCGCCCTTGGATATTTGCTTTATTAAAATTTAAACTAACGACTTGTAATTTATTCTTTATTTAATTATTTAAGCTTTAATTTGTACAATTTACTTTATAAATCAAGATACATAACTTGTGTTGCAGATAAAGCACCACAGAAACTTAAAATAGCAGAAGCCCAAACTGTGGCAACACTCGATCCACACGCATCTACAATGGCTCCCATGCAAGAAGATAAGATGAATTGAGCCAGAAATACCATACTACCGACTACTGCAACGTCTGTTCCTATACCTCTCACTTGATTTCTCGTAGTTTCCTCTTCCTCAAACTAAAATTTATGAATTTTTTATTATTTAAATATTTCTTAAACAAAATATGGAATTTTACTTACCTTACCCGCGCAATGATATCTGGCTATTAGTATATATGGTAAGGTAAAGAGGGTGGCATACATGATGCCTGCTGTAGTCGAAAATATAATAACGCCAGCTCGATGGGGAAAAAGTGACATAAATATCATGCCCAAAGAATAAACTAACTGGCCACATATATAAACGGATTTTGCACCTTTGAAAGGAAATTATGTTTTGGTTATTGATATATATTCATTGGTTACAAGAATATGGAATATAGGAATTGCAATACAGATAGAAAACGGCTTGAAACTTATGCGAAAAATCTAATAGAATATTAATTATATTACACATAAAAGGTTTATTCTTCTTGGTTTTCAAGTAATTTAACTTTATCTATATTGTTCTAACTACATTTACGTAATTAAATTCCTTACAATTGCACCCATCAAATGGGTAAAATTCTTGGTAGTTGGTCTTGGATTCGCCCCTGACAAACGGAGTTTCCAGGTTTTCTTCGCGTTTCTAATACCTAAATAGGACCTTAAAAAGTCCGCCTGAGAGGGACCCTTTGACAGATCGCCTTGTGTTGAGTTGCGTATCCTATCAATCCATCTATTCATCCTACAATTGCGGATCTTCAAGTTATTTTCTATTTGTATTTCAATTACATATATTTCCATTCTGATACAGAGAATATATGATACTATAGATTAGGAAAATATAAAAGAACTCACGAAATCTGCTGATTAATTTTTCAATGCAGTACGAATAGCTACAGCAGGAAAGAGAATAAAGAGCCATTCCCCAACATCCAAATTTTACTCCGTCTTGATAGCGAATATATTCTGGCGAATTGTGCGCTGCAGTGGGATTACCATTATAAACTACTTCTCCGACGAAATTTGTGAAGTACAAAGAATAGCAAACCAATGACATCCAACAGAACAAATTAGTTAGGCATAAAATTCGAAGTGATTTTGGCATCTTGATTATGGATTTAAAATACTCCACTACTGTAGGATGTTCGATAATATTTTCTTCTACAGAATTTGAAGATACAATTTCATCAAGTACACGATTCGTTACGTAATCCTCAACCTCTGTAGACTCGGCAGTTTTGCTTTTACGCCATGTTTGCAAACTATGTAAACGAATGTATTGTAATTCTTCTTCGTTTATAAAAGTTTGGTAACTAATTGAATCTGGTTCTTGGAAAAAACTTAGAGGAATTTCTTTAAATGATGTGACTGTAATTGTCACAGCTACTAAGAAGAAAACGGATACCATAAGGAACACTATCCGAACGTGATTATCTGTAAACGAAGAAAAGAATGTACTTTCCCATCTGGTGGCACTCATTGAATAACCAATGGCACCCCCTAATCCAGCCATTATTGTAAAGATGCTCAATCCTCGAGAATGATCCTCTTCAATAGTGACATCCAACAAGTAGCTCCGTGCTGGAGATTGACAAGCATCAGAACAAAAATCCAGAAGAATGGTTCCTATAACTGTGAAAGTGATTCCAATAGGGTAAGTGCTAACATGATCAGAGTGTATCGTCTCGGTTGTATTACTATAATTAAAGCTTTCGCTCTCGTTGTATCGTTTGTCGCCCATAGCCAGTCCCAGTAAATGGCCATTTGGTACTAACATCAGTCCCAGAATTATACCAACCGAAAACATGATGATGAAAGGTCTTCTCCTACCATATTTCGAAGTGCAACTATCACTTAATGATCCTAGTAAAGGTGTCGTGAAGAATCCAATAAGAGGGCTTAAGCACCATATCATAGTCATATATTTGACATCTAAACCAAGGGAAAGAAGAATAGGGGTAACGAATGCGGTTTCTGCTGCGTAACAAAACTCGATACCACAAACTGCTCCACTCAATATCATCAATTCGCAGCTGGTTTTTCTTCTAAATATATCTTCGTACGACTTTGTTTTTGAATGAAAACGAATATTTTCTTTAGCAAGATGCAAACTACTCTTCGATTTTTCTTTAATTACCTCCATTGCTTGAGAAACGGAGCATGCTGCTTTGTCTTTAAATTCTCTTACAAGGCTGAGATAATTGATGTTTAAATTCATCTTCGCAAGTGTATACAAATTTTAAATTTTATTTCATCTGTAAATTGAAAAAAAGGAAAAACATTAGTAGATTTAAAAGGAATTTTGGCCTACAGTGGTTGAGTGTATAACACCACGGAATACTTTGATCACGGGTTCGAGCATTATCACATGTAGTTTACCGAGTTTCTTTCACGCGTATAACACTTAAATACGGGCCATTTTTCTACAGAAATTCTCCCGGAAGGTACCCTTGCAAATTGCTCACTGTCTTATTCCATTAATCCAATAAGAGGAAGTTTAGCCATTCGCTCATTGAGTCGCTATGGCATTTTGTTTTTATTATTTATCTTTCCATCCTCTGGACCTTTTTCTAGGTCCACCATAAAATCAGTTCAGGCCCCCATTATAGGCATGGCAAATTCTCTTGGACGAATGTGGGCTAGATGATGAAGACGAAGCCCAGCAGACTTTTCAAGAAAAATTCATTGGGATCCGGATCTATACTGAAATCACAGTCCACGAGAATCTATATATCGTGATGAACATTTTCAAAGTTTAGGGGGAAACTCGAACCCAGTATTCTCTATATTTAATACCTTTTTAAAAATTAAAAACAAAATATTTAAATTTGATTTTAAAATTTCTTTTTAAAAAATTACTTATGCTATTCTATTTAATATATACTTGAAAAATATACACATTAAAAATATACGACAGGAGGAGGATCAGAAAAGAGAGATGAGGCCCGATCCTGTTTCAAAAGTACCTATCTCTCCGATAATATATGAATTAAATTAATAAAATATATTTTCACCAAGTATTAAAAGAAACGATCGTATTATTTTTTTACATAAAAGATTTTGGGCCCTTTTTTTCTTCGGTGCCTTGTCAATTTTCTCTGCAGATCCATAAATCTGTATTTAGACAATGTAGATAAAAATCGAGCTTGTTTCTTATATTTTAAAATAAGGAATTCAGTAGAATTTATTAATAGAGTTCTTACATGTTAATAAATTTAATGAAAATCTTTAAAATATTTTCGAGTTGCCTTATAATTAAAACATTAATTATTTTAGCCATTTAATCCTAAAATTAACTCGTTTCATATGTTCTAATGTGATTCCTGCCGGTTTCCTTCGTCTTCGTGAGTGATAATCATCATTAATTAATTATCAATAATACTAAAAATTTACATGGTAATATTTTTCAATATAAACATAAATAACTATTCGAAAATACTACTTTAACATTAAAAAAAATCATTAATTTTCAAGTCATTCCTGGAGTTAACAGACTGCAAAAATTAAGCACGAGTCTGGCTTCTCATTTTATCCTATTAAAGATTTTAGCAAAGACCAAAATGTATGTCTTAAAATACATTTTAAATAATAAATATTACTTAAATACTAAAGCTTAATAATATTTATATATAAGAATTTATATACTTGCAGTTTGTGGACGTTCTTGCAGCTAATATGACCGAATTGGGAGTGCAGTTGTATTTAACTTGTAAGTAATTTATGTATCAGATCGTGTTATTGGTGGAAACGTATGACGTCAATGATCGATGCACCATTCAACCAACTGTATCTTCTAATACTGTTAGAAGTTCTTGTTGGTGATTTGAGTTTATTTTTAATATCGAAAACGGCTTGTTTCTCAACGTGGCACCACCTTTTTTTTTTTGGATTTCTCCCGCTCTGTGGGCCTATAATGTGGGCCTAAAGGGCCTATAATATGGACCTACAATAGGGCCTATAATGGGGAGCCATTGTGGATCTGGTTGGGTGTTGAGGGACAAATCCGAGACAGACCACCCCGAAAAATTCCTTCATCATCCTAAATCTGTTGACGATGATAAACATTGATGAGGATGTACAGCGAACCTTCAAAACCATCATCACATTAACGAATGTGAGTAAATAAATAAAATCCAAGTTTAAATATTTATTTCTTAAAATAATTGTGATATTAAAAGTAAGATAATTTATTAAATTAACTTATAAAAGTATAAATACATTTTTTTTTATTAATCAAATGATAAAATATCTTGGGAATTTGTATGATAGGAGACATTCTCAATTGAGTTATCCTTAGGAAAGAAATACGAAACTTCTCTTCATTTCTAATCATAATCAAGAGATCGATGATAAAGAGTCCAGTTTCTGATTATATTATCATTTATAAAGGTCATATAACATTATATTTAACTAACAAATAGGAATTTATATGCAATAATATAAATTCTTACATATGAAATCATTTGAAATCTAACCATTTTTACCGTAAAATATTTTTATATATTTTTAATCAAAAATTAAAAATATATAAAGTTTTTATAACAAAATCTCATAACAGATGGTGCCACATGTAATTTTATTTATTGTGAATAATAATCGAAACGTGATTTTTAAAATAAAATCTCATAAAAGCCGGGAAAGTTACGCAACTCGCTGCTAGATTTTTTTTTACATCTCAGATGTTTTTGTTTGGATAGAGCGTATACTTTCCTTATGCTCAGTTCGAACTGTCTAATACATTATGTAAATGTTTCATAAAAAGATAACTCGTGTTTAATGTCTTACCTTTAATTACTAGGGCTGAAGAAGCTATCAGTCGACGTCTATTGCTTCTTCCTCTCGCCAATTCTTCCGAGCATGTTGGCCATTAGCGTAACGTGGCACATTACACTACAGTCGTCGTAATGTTTTTTTTTTTTTTTTTCAAAAACTTTCGCACTTTCAGCATTGTTTTCTTTCTGATGAGCATGCCTGATCTCTGCTGTAATCTGCTGAAAAGATTTCGGGGTCAGGATGGGGATGCCTGTACGCCCGGAAGTCACTTTTAGTTTAATGTAACAAAAAGGAATTTTAAAATTTTCTTAAACCTCAAAGTTTTGTGATGGTTGGGCATTAGAATAGTCGGCAAAATTCAACTCTTGTGCTCCCATGTCCTTATGCCATTGATCAAGAATGATTCTCGGGATAGAGCAAGACTTCCAAGAGCTTCCTGAGAAATCTTTACAAGGAAACTGTTATACGCGCGAAGACGACCCGAAAAATACTCTACGTGGCCAGCTTATTAGTGAAGCGCGAATCCACAATCAGTAACTAGTTTTTAATGAATTTGGCTCCGAAAAGGAACTGTCATTATTCAGAGTTCCATTGTTTGCTTTATATTACTTTGCTTTAATTTTGTATTGCAAGATTCTACCGTTGTTTCCTATAATTCTAATCCCGTTTTCTATCTTTTCTCATACTATCTCCCTATTTAAGGATAGTGTTCGAGCATATCCTAACTCTATGTGAAATGATTAGAATAGCTCGTTTCTGTAAGGACCAGTTGAAGACCTTCAACTGGTCCTTACAGAATCATTTCATTTCAGTAAGGATTTCTGTAAGGATTTCAGTTGAAGGCCGTTGAAATCGTGCAATGATCCGTCGAAATCCCACTTTTTACAGACAGAGATCACGAAATTAACTACAAAATCCAAATTTTTAAAACATTAAATTTTCTTGTTGTTGAAAGAGGATCAATAAGGATTGATTGGTTTTCTTCAGAGGAATCTTATCTTTTCATTTATTTTGGAGGGAGCCGATCGGTCTTTTCATTGTTATAGTTTATATATTACATACGTATATACATTAATATCCCATCTGAATCTTAATAAATTAGAATAATTCGCGTTCATTCGTCGTCTCGTTTTCTCTATTTTCATAGATGTTTTCTGTTACCGTAGTCAACAGAATAGTACAATTTTTTATAAACTAATTTCTCTATAGAACATTAAAAATCGTCGAAAAGATTAAAATTATTATATATAATAAATAGAGATTTTATTGTAATATTCAAGGAATTAAAACAGTTGTTTTTGCATTACAAAGTTACAATTCAGATTAGAATAGGAATATTTCTTAATTAATGCAAGTTCTATTTTCACAATATTCGCTCATTTTTCTTGCAGAATGGATAATTTCAAAGAATTGAAGGAGTGACACACCTCGAACCATGCCGAGCCTGAGGATGGCGCCTGCTCTTGGCCTCGTGTAATACGGGTGCTTCCGAAAGATGCGGAGGAGGAGTCGCATACACCCTACGGTCGTCATAACTCCGGACAACAGTGCCTCGTCTCTCGTCCATTACGTTGAGTGGCAATATTCCGAAGTTCCTGAATGGACGGTGGAGACACGGTCACGTGAGACGGGACTCGACAGAAAGGAGTCCGAAGAAATGGCGGACGAATCCGTCGAGCGTAATGGAAAAAGGTTGTTTTGCTGCTGGAAAACAAACCCTTTTTCTGACGAGGCCTTCTTACACTGGATTTCGACTTTTCACCGAATGTGACACAGCCACCCGGAATTGACCTTTCACCCGGCTACGACTTAATCAACTGGACTTGACTTTCCATCCCAATTTACGGAAGAATACTTCGACGCCATTCGAGATTCGTTCTTCCACTTCGGTTAAAGTGCATAGAACATCGACAGTGACGTCTATCGTGACCAAAGTGACAACGAAACATTAAGCAGTGTTCTCGTGTTTAATAGCACTGCATTGACTAAGGGGAAAATGCCAATATGTTGTTGCTAAGGCCTTGCATAATAAGGCCTCGCGAACGTTTATGCGCCGTGGACTAAAAATCTAACATTGCCACGACTCTGATTATACCATAAGTATACATACACGTATATCATTACTGGAATTGTATTATAGATTTGGCATGGTCCATGAGCATGCAAATGGTGACAAACGCTATATGACATATCTGGACCTACTTTTTTTTTTTTAACTCTTTCCGCCGTGGGACACTAAGAGGGCCTCTTTTTGCAAGCCCATTATGGGTTCGGCCAGGCCCACAATGGAGCTGCCGGGTGGTGAAGGGCGGGGCCCGACATATCCGAACGGACCACCCTTCGAAAAGTTCCTGGAGATTTTTCGACCCGTTCGGATTCGAACCCGGGTCCCCCAGAGCGAGACATATCTGGACCAGACTACTTAATATTTCTGTGGATCTGACT